CAATGTCTTATTGCTTGTTAATTTAGGCATGCATCGCATTTTTATGTTTTAATTCGGTTATTTTGCCCTTATTATCTATGATTGTTGTTTTTATGCCTAAAATCTGCTTTTTGCCTCAATTTATGATATGTTTGTTTTGAGATTGTGTTATTATCTTGTGGAATTAGGGTCCCTCTGCTGGTTTGTCTATTGTGCCTCTGTCTACGATTCCCTTCACAGGTTCCCATCCTCAAAACACGGACAAGGCCACTTCCAAAAAGGCTGAGCGTTCGCTTGATCCAGCCTCAGATCCAGTCACTAATGAATTCGTCCCTGTTCCAGGCTCTGTTCCAGAGCAGGTTAAAGTATCGATTCGGGACATCATCTCTGAACCTGAAGATCCATTCGTTCAAGCAGCCATCATCTCCGACACTATTGCAAATATGCCAAACTCTGCCCGTGCTACAACGGTTGTCCCCATCATCAGAGTGCCCTTTTCAAAGGCCAAAGGGAAAGCCAAGGTTACTGATCCCGATGAAGAAGTTGCTGCTGCAGTTCTTGTGGCTAAGAGAAAGCTTCACATGTCTGATGATGTTGAATTTGTCTCTGAATCTCGTCCTAGCAAGCGTTCTGAACACAGGCCGACGGGTCTTGCTCAGCGTACACGATCAAGAACAGGTGTGTCTACTCCAGCACCTCCACCGGCTTCTGCTCCGGCCTCAGCTCCTGCTCCAAAACCAGCTGCATCAACCAGATCCATGACAGTGAAGGCATCCAAAGGCACGATGTTCAGACCAATCCTGCTCTCACCTACATTGGAAACAGTATGGCAGCAGCATTCCAATAGAGATATCTTGGTTGAGAAAAATTTTAGTATTGAATACCTCATTCGCGTGTGCAATATCATTCCTCTGCTTAGAGCTCAGAATCTTCTCCAAACCATCCAGAATGTGGGAGCTTACTCTGCCTGGCTTATCCCAGAATTCTACGCCAATCTCACGTCTGATTCTCTTCGACCGGCCTCTACACATTATCATCAAGTTTTTCTCCGGGATACTTGGTATGATTTTAGCCCCTCTATTATCAACACTTATTTTCAGCGTGATGCGTGTGATGATCTGTTTGATCCTGCTGGGGACTTTCTTGCATCCCACCTTACACACAATGAGATCAACGTCTGGCCAAAGGATGGCCTGCCTTCGAATGTGCTTACTGCAGTCTATTCGGTTCTCTTTCGCCTAGCTTCTAGCAATTGGATCCCAAATGTTTCTGTGCACACTGTGAATAAGAAGATGGCCTCTCTGTTATACAAGGTTCGACATCAGCTGCCTATTGATCTTGGTCATCTCATCTATCATCACATCATGGGTTTTTCTAAGAAGAAAGAAGCCAAGATTCATCTACCATTTCCATGCCTTATCACGGGTATCTTGCAACAACAAGGGCTTCAACTCTATTCCAATGAAGAGCTCTGTCATGTTACTCACAAGACCTCTATGGACTCTCGCATCTTCCAAAAATCCCACTTTGATGATCGGGCCACTCTCTCCTCAGTTCCACCTGCCCCTGCTCTAACGGATACTCCAGCAACTGGCATGGCCTCTGCGTCGACAGCTTCTGCTGCTGACTCTGCTTCAACTCTGGCTGTTCTCAGACAGCAAGTTACTTTTCTCGCTTCACACATTGCCACGATGAAAGATGCCTCTCTTGCCATTCAATCTTCAATCTCTACTGCCGAGGCTCAGCTGCTTCGGGTGACTCGCCAGATTGCCGCCATTGAAGCTGCTCCTACTGATGATCCTGCTTGTGATGACGAAGACTTGGAGACCTCCTCCTCCTCCACCCAGTCCTGATGTTGCTCTTTGTCCATTAGATTGACAAAAAGGGGGAGTGCACTTAGTAAGGGGGAGTACGTGTTTTTGAGAACTTAGCCATAAGTGCCAGTGAATAATGTGGTGTGCTCTACCTTTTTTTTTTTTTTGTTTGCTTTTAAATGTGTTAAGATGCTGCGTGTTTTTGCCTTGACTATGTGATAAATGTTATGCAGCTATATTATGTGACATATATGTGTTCTGTGTTTTTTTTTTTTTTTTTTGCTTTTAAATTTCTATGTGTTTGTATGCCTTAATTGTGTGTTGAATTCTCTGGCACAATATTGGTTAAGTTTAAAGGAGGGTGTGTGTCTAGCTACTCTTGACTAGTGACTAATCCGATCTCTTTTGTATAGATTATTCATTTGGCAATTCATTTTAAAGCCGATGATATCTTTTAGTAGATTTGTTAACTAATAGCCAAAGGGGGAGATTGTAAGTGTAAATATATTGCACATTTAAACCTCTGTTTTATTGGCTTAGATTAGTTATCAAAGTAGTCCTGGATTAGTCACGACGTCTGGAGCAGTTGACTGGATCAGCGCACGGAAGTTTTCCAGGAGATATCAAGCTTATTCAAAAATACTTATTCAAGACCCTATAAATAGGGAGATCTACATCTAATGGAGCAGCCGAATTCTAGGAATGGAAGAGTGCATGTTTTGAGGATCAAAACAGCTTTTACAACCTATATAATGCTACCTTAATTAGCATTCAAATCGAGCACTCTTACACAATGTCTTAGGCTGAAAGTCTTGGTGCATCTATACCAAAGATAATCTGTATTGTTGTGTGTGAAGAAGATCTTGCAATCAGATCATGAAGAAATGAAGAACGCCTGCACATCGGATCCACTGGAGTAGGTTCTGGAGTAGTTATAGGTTATACTTTAGAGTGTAATTAACTATCCTCTTGTACTCCGTTTTTCATCATAGTGGATTTGGGTTGATGTGAGTGGCCCCGCAGACGTAGGAGTGAGGCTCCGAATTGCGTGAACATATCCTGGTGCATGCTTTCTTTTACTGCTATTTATTTCATGTTCTTTATTATATCTGGAATGTGTTGTCTTCTAGTCCAGCTTTATAATTGAAATTAAAGGTTTTAAAGGTTATATCTTGGATTCAAGACTCACGTGCTTTTTCAAAAAGGCTTAAGGCTATTAGCTAAAACTTTCAAGGCTATTTTATAGAGGACATTACATAAAGTAGTGGGCCTAAATTTTTCCAAATTCTTATGTTTTGATTTCTTGGGTATAACAATGGCCATGTAGAAGAGAGATGGTAGAGGGGAGGAAAAAAAAAAAAAAAAAAAGGAACCTAACACAAAAAAAGTAAAAAATAAATAAAAAATTTTGTTTGTTCACAAGTTGGGACAATAGGCGAGATCGCAATATCTATATTTCTTTATTAGCCAGTGAAAAGACAAAAATTGAGTGCTTATAAGAAAAAAATCTATTCAAAAATTACACTTCACATTTGTTTAAAATCCATCCGCAAGTTCTTGCATCTAAAAAAACCTCGTAAGAGCTAACAATTGGGGATGCTGTGTTTTTAAAACTTATAATAGTATAATATTGTAACTTCAAACGTAATTAACATGTGCTCAAATACTGTTGCATCCTGACATATATAATTTGACTTTTTTTAACCAAACCAGACCATTTTCTCTCTCTTCAATTTGTTTTGTTTTATTTTATTTGTATCTTTATGGTGAGTGGTGACACATGGCTTAATGGGTATAGACAAATCAAGGTTACGTTCTGTACCTTCCCAGCTTAATAACACACTCATTCACAAACTATATTTTACTGCAATACACTAGTTAACCTTACTTAACAGTGTATATAATTAAGGGTGAACCCTAAGTGTGTTGATCGAACAGTTAGTATTAGCATTATGGAAATATATGGATATATGGAGGACATGAATAAAGATCAGAGGGTCTCACTCGTCTAAAAAATGTGTGGTGGTATAAAAAATAAAGTGGTGCGGGCCTTCGCTAGTAGCAATAACTTTTGACGTAGTGATAAGCTTTTGATCCTAACAAATGTTATTAAAGACGAGTCACGGTTTCAAGTCAAATAATATTGCGCCTTTTAGCCTAATGATAAACGTTTGATCTTAGGGGTCGTTTGGTTCACGGAATGTCAGATTACCTTAGGAATGTTAGATTGCTGGGAATGTTAGATTACTGGGAATGTTAGATTCCTGTGTTTGGTTAAAATTAGGGTATGTAATATAATCATGTTTGGTTCAGGGTTATCTTTATTCACACACTATAATATTCTTAACATATTTTCATATATTTTAATAAATTTAAAAATTAAAATAAATAAATAAGATAACGGTATCATATATAATTACATGATTTTAAAATATTAACTAAAATATTGAACTTGAGAAACAAAATTATTTTATATGCTAACCCCTAACATAATAAAAATAAAAAATATATAATTACAAAAATAATTATATGTGTGTGTGTGAGAGAGAGAGAGATAAACTAACATAACCAATTATATCTTACATAACCTTAGAAATTGAAAGGAATCACATTCCCTTCAAAATCCTATGTGGAGGGAATGTGACATTCCTGGGGAATGTTAGATTCCCTGAGATAATGTGAACCAAACATAGTAATTTGAGCTTTGAAATGTCATATTTCCTTGGTTATGTTATATAACCTGAACCAAACGCCCCCTTAGTGGTAAGGGCATGCTTGATCCTAACATCATAGTCGGCACGCTTGATCCTAACATCATAGCTGATCGGTTTAAACTATTTTCGTTAAGAGTCGAATTTGTTAGCTGTCTTATCAACCTGGTAGGACTGGGCCATGATTAAATAAAGTTTTTGTTGTGTGATAAAGCTGTCCTGCTCTGAGTGGATGAGGTCCCAGAGTGCAGCGCAATGAGCAGTGACCAGTTTGGCAATAGAGAGCAGCATAGTACTTTATGGTAAATAGTATTCTACTCACAAATTTTAAATGTAGACAATTTTTTCTAAATTTATAAAATAAAAATGTTCTATTTATACTTGTCACATAAAAAATATAATTGATGGAATAAAATTTGAGAGTCCTATATCAGAAGTCGTACTTTATTATTATTATTATTATTATTATTTTGCAAAAACTGGTACTTTATTATTAAGTAGAGGCCGCTCCTAAGTCCTTAGCTTCTTCCATTTGCAATTCATCATCTATCTTCTTCTCCATTTTCTTCTTCTTGTTGTTTTGCCCCAGCCTACACAAACCTAACTAATCAAGAATTGATGGATGAACTAATTGTGACCTCGTCTTCATCGTCCTCCATAACTGCGTCTCTTTCTCAACCCAATCACTCAACCCTTCAACAGAGGCTTCAATTCATCCTCAAAACCCAGACCGACAGCTGGGCTTACGCTATTTTCTGGCAGACCTCAAATGACGACGATGGCCGCCTCTTCTTGGCCTGGGGGGACGGCTTTTTCCAGGGGACAAAAGCCGGCAGAGGCGGCGGCGTCCCCGTCGTCGTACAAACCTCTCACTCTACCCAGCAGTCGGAGAGGAAGAAAGTGATCAGTGGAATCCAAGCCCTGATCGGCAGCACCCAGAACTCGGAGAACGGCGACCTCATCACCGATGCGGAGTGGTTCTACGTGATGTCCCTCGCGCGGTCTTTCTCCGCCGGCGATGGGGTTCCGGGAAAGGCATTTAGTATGGGTTCTTTGGTTTGGTTGAGTGGGGCCCATCGCCTCCAGATGTATAACTGTGAGAGGGCTAAAGAGGCTCAGATCCACGGTATTCAGACGCTGGTCTGCATCCCAACCGGCGCCGGAGTTGTTGAACTGGGCTCCCTCGAGATCATTAAAGAAAACTGGAGCTTAGTCCAACAGGTCAAGTCTTTGTTCCAGTTCCCTGAAGAAAGAACCATTTCGTTCGCCGATATTGGCCTCGTTAGCGGCCATGAACTGCTGCAACAAGGACGATCCGCCGGAGCTGACGATCTCAAAGTGCTGCAAAGCCGCGCCGCCGGAGATGCTGAGAAGCAAGCGCAAGAAGCATCCGCCGCCGCCGCCGCCGCGAAGAACTCCTACCCGGAATCTGAGCACTCCGACTCCGACTGCCAGTTTCTGAAGGAGCCTCCAATCGTAGACAGACAACAAAACGCGCCGAAGAAGCGTGGGAGAAAACCCGGCGCCGGGCGAGTCACTCCGGTGAACCACGTGGAGGCGGAGCGGCAGCGGAGGGAGAAGCTGAACCACCGGTTCTACGCGCTCCGGTCGGTGGTCCCCAACGTCTCAAGGATGGACAAAGCCTCGTTATTATCGGACGCAGTGTCGTACATAAACGAGCTTAAAGGCAAAGTGGAGGAGCTGGAGTGTCAGCTCCAGCTGAGAGAATCGAAGAAAGTGAAAGTGGAGGCGGTGGGCGACAACCAGAGCACGTCGTCGGCGGCGTCCTCCGTCGCGTCGCCGGTGGACGTGGAGGTGAAGATAGTGGGTCCCGATGCGATGATAAGAGTACAATCGGAAAATGCAAACTACCCGAGCGCAAAGCTGATGAATGGGCTCAGAGAACTGGAGCTTGCAGTTCACCATGCCAGCATATCTAGCGTCAACGACATCATGCTTCAGGACATCGTGGTTAAGGTTCCGGAAGGATTAAGATCTGAAGATGGATTAAGAGCTGCTCTTCTTAGAAGATTAGATCAGCTTTAATTAATTAATTAATTACCACTCATAAACATCACATGTATCGTGTATGTATATATTCCATGCTACTTCTTCCTAATAATAAATAATTGTGTGTTTCCTCGTTTGCACATCAAGACTAGAAAAATATGATCAGTACCCCAATTGCCCGGTTCGCGATTTGCTTTCGTTGCTAGCTGGGTGAGTTAATGTATGAATCGGTTACAAAGTAATATCTGTTATATACTTTCTCAATCAAAGTTGCGGTTTGATCTTGTGACCACTCATTTACAATATATTGGTGACAGAGGTGACATCACACTACATAATAGTGGAATGTTCGTATTTTTTACCATCTTTAAGTTAATTAGCTTTGTTTGTATTGTTTCATGGTATTGCATTGTCTGTCTGTAATAATAAGAAATAATGCAATTAAAATGGCCAGCACGAGCTTAGCTCACTGGTTAGTAAGTCGTATTTGGGAGAAGCTATTAAAAGTTTGAATCTCAGCATCAGGGTGTGAGGATTATGTCTAAAGTCGGCAGATTTAATATTTGGGAAGATTAACAGGGTGTTTGGTTGAAAGGAATTTAAATTCCATTCCCACCTAATTCCAAAGGCCACAAAATTTCATTGTTTGGTTGAAATGAATTGCAATTTTCCCATTTTCATGGAATTAAAATCCCATGTCCCCTGAGATTTTAATTCCTGGGATTTTAGGAAAAAAAAAAAGATAGTGATGAGTCAAAATTACCCCCACCCCCTTTTAACTTAATACTAATGCCTAACAACAATGGACATTTTGGACTTTATACTACTTATTCCCTATCAATTTCTATGTATACCAAACATTGGAATTGAAATTCGCAGTAATTCTATTCCTGTAAATCAAACACTAGAATTTAAAATTTTCACTTTGTTCCCAGTAATTCATCTCCCATGGAATTGCAATTCCTTTCCCACGTAATTCCCCCTCTCCAACCAAACGCCCCTGTAAAAGTTCAAACTGTGAGGATTATGTCCAAAGTAAGCAGATCCAGTATTTGTGAGAAGAGATTAAAAGTTCAAACCTTGACAGCAACAATGTGGGGATTATGTCCAAAGTGAGCAGATCCCTTTCACTGCTGATCCTTTCAAATGTTCTGTCGAGCAGGATGTGGCGTTGAAAACTCAACCTTTTGGGAGGAGAAGAAATGCAATTAAAATGATGGAGTATATATATATTGTATGTATGCATGCATAATGTATGTTGGATTGAGACGGAGGGTTTGGGTATTGATAATTGGATGTGATATGTGTGGATAATAATAATGGAAGGGAAAGGAAAGGAAAAGTATTGGTACGTACTAAAATATCAACTTCTGTTTCCCCCACACCTTCATGTGGTGCATCTGTTGCGCACCCTATCTAGTACCTACTCATTTACTAATACCCCCCCCCCCCCCCCCCCCCCCCCCCCCACAATATATCTATCTTAACTTCTGTCCAATCAAACATATACACAACCATTTTTAGAATTTTCTCCTATATAAATGTGTGTGAGAGACACGCTACTATAAAGGAAAATAATGCTTCTTGTAAAAAAACAACAAATGAAATAATTATATTATCCATTTGGAATATTAATAGTTTAAAAATAAAGAGAAAAACAATGTAACAATTTCATAAATATTTCAGATGTTGGATGTGTAGTACTAGACAAAACTTAAAAACATATCAAATGATATATAATAGTGCACTCAAAATCTATAAAAGTATACTCAAGTCGATTATATTGTAACATATCAGCAAATATAGGGTAAAGTTTTGTTCTCTAAACTTTGTAATAATATAATTACGAAAATATCATCACATTTTATTTTTCTTTTTCCCTTGTTTTCAAGCCTGGGATGATTCTAAATAAATGAATCTACTAAAATTTTTAGTATTTGTCTGCGTTTCTCACATAAAATTTTATTCTCATAAAAATTAGGCAGATGTGATTAGATTTTGTTTTTTGTTTTTTTGTTTTTTTTTTTTATTTTTATACCGAAAAATAACAATAACATTATCTAGATAATAATTTACTTATAATTTATTTTTGAATTACGAGCAGGGTAATAATCACCGCAAAACAATGAGGACGAGGATATATAAATATATATACATCACCAAATTAAAAGACGACAAACAGGCATATATCCATCGTGGCATGAATAAAATGTGTCTTGACTATTATGGCTAAGACCTTCCGTGCCTTTAAAGTCTTTGCAACATTAAACATAAACGCACATACATATATCGTTTTATATTTTATTGATTTTGTAGATACAACATGTGCTTTGAATTGGTCCTACATATATATTCCATTCCATTTTATTATAATATATATAATTTCTCCCATATTCAAAATGCTTTTGCTCGCTCGCATGCTTCCTTCTAGATTCTCAATCTTATTTCCCTCGAAGTGACACCATTTAACCAAAACTTTTTCCTATCTGATCTTTCACGAGACACGCACCCAAGCACATGCATGTTAATTATATTGACATCTAATGGTACGATTGAAATATAAAAATAACACATCAATAGCTGATTCTATTAATCAATAGTTCATAGTTGATTTTGTTTTCGGTTTTGATTAGCAGGTAGTATGTATTAGCAATTTGTAGGAAAATGTTTGATAAATAATTGTTTATTGCCATCAAACAACTTATAAAATTAAATAACTTTAAGGAATAAGGTTCAAATTGATCACTGAACGTAAGCTGAAAATGCAATTAGGCCACTGAACGAAAAATAAAATACAAATAGGCCAGTGAACATTCCAAAAAATGTGCAATTTCACCTGATAGCAGGTTACCCTCAATTTTAGCAGGTTACCTACTTACGTGGCAGCTGAGTTGGCATTTTTAATAAATTTTAAATAATTTTTAATAAATTTTAATAATAATTTTTTATTAAAAAAATAAAAACGACTGTATTTTGTTTTTTATTTAATTTTTTTCAATTTTTTAAAAATTTATTATTAAAATTAATTATTAAAATTTATTAAAAATTATTAAAAATGTCAACTCAGCTGCCACGTAAGCAGGTAACCTGCTATCCGGTGAAATTGCATACGCTTGGAGAGTTTAGTGATCTAATTGCACGTTTTTAGAGTGTTCAGTGACCTAATTGCACTTTTTTTTTTCGTTCAGTGGCCTAATTGCATTTTCAGGTTACGTTCAGTGGCCAATTTGAACCTTATTCCTAACTTTAAAAGATATGAATATATTATTTTATTTACTGAATTATCTTTAAATTATTTTTAATTTAAGTATAAATTTTAAAATATATTTATTTTAATAATAATAATTGTTGGTTTCTAGACTTTTGGGAAGTCTACCAGGGGTCCAACACAACCGGGAAAGTTGGTGAATCACCGAAAAATATAATATAAAAAATAAATAGAAACAATAATTTGACACAATAATTTTTATGTAAAAACCGAAAGGAAAAATCACCGACCTTTTTGGGCGGTGCTAAGCCTAAAGATTCACTAGGAGATTTTGTACATGTTGTATTGTGTATGGATGAAGATAGGTGTTGGTTTCTCTAGAATGATGAAGCCTTTTCATGGTGATGACGGAGTCCTTCTCGTGATGATAAAACAAGCTCCCCCTACTTTTGATCCTTGCTTTAGCTTTTATAGATCAAATGGGTAGTGGGTATTTTAGGGCAGTAAGTAGGGTGTTTATGGGTAGTAAATGGGGTGATTAGTGGTAATTAATAGCTAATTTATTGGGGAATAAATGAGATGAGAGGTTGTATTTTGTTTAGAAAACGGAAGGGTTAAAATGGATTTTTTATGATGTTTATTATGGTAATGAATTGAAGGATAAAGGGGTAATAATTTGGGTTTTATGGGTAGTTAATAGGGTATTTATTTGGTGGGTTATGGAGTGGTTTAGGGGTTATGGAGGGGTTTTATGGGTAGTTAATAGGACTGGTCAAGCCCGAGATCGGAAGCTAGTCGGTCTTTCCTCTTCGACTCTAAATTGCATTCTCCGTCGAAGCTTTGTTGAACATCGTGTTAGAAATAATTTATTCTTAACGTTGATTCATATAATTAAGGTGTCATGGTCATATGAATCAGTGAGAGACTGTTAGAAATAATTATTTCCTAACAATGATTTATATAATAAAGGTTGTAATTCCATAAGGTACTCATGTTGATGATTAGTGATGTGTAAAGGCGGAATTACTGGGTGAAATTCCTTCCCTTTCATTCTGTTAAAATTTAAGTTTATAAGGGTTAAAAGATGTATAATGGATAAGGTTATGGGTCTCACAATCCTAAAGGGATTTCTATTCCTAAAGGAGGTTACATTCCTAAAGGGATTTCTATTCCTAAAAGTGGCTCCCCATTCCTCTTGAAAGAGGGTTTCTCATCACATCTATAAATACCCAGGAAAACTCTAGGGATCTTAACGGTTTCAAATCTCTAAGTCTTCTAGTCTCCGTATCATCAAGAGGTGAATAAGGTATATGGATCAGAGAGGTGAAGCATTATATTCTTGATTCATTCAATTTAGAGATTACATCTTCAATGGAACCAAGTAAGTCCTATCTTTCCTATTTAATTAAAAGTCTATGATCATGAACATTGTTTAGTTGATTGATTTGATTTACAGCGATCATTGTTAATTGTGCTTCTGCATTTAAGTTATAGCGCATAAAGGATTATTTAACACATCGCCCTTCCAAAAGTGGAAGTGTGCATGCTTCTTCTTTGTCGATTGAGTCCTCGTTGACTGTCGATCTTTCTTTTTTATCAATTCTAGTTTGCATCATAATCGTGAATCGTATTCCGGTCAATTCGACAGCAAGTTGGGATTTTGAAAGAAATCACACCGAGATGTTATTACTAACACAAGATGCTATGGAGGAAAAGGACGCGGATGGACGATAGCTAATGAGAATGCTCCGGGTTCATGAATTTTAAACAGAGAGTAGGATCAACAGTCAGCGCAACTGGTTATGTGGATCCACTCTTCCGTTTTTTCAAGCTTTCTCCTAGAAATTTAATCCGCTTTTGCACACCATGGTCGAGGGAATTTGCTGAGTATTCCGTAGTCGATCGCCAGAGCATTCCATAGCTGGTGAAACT